TGATTACAACTTTATTAACTGATTTGTCTGATTCAACAAATGAATAAAACCTAGTTAATCTGTCTAATGCTTATCTGCTGCAGTTGCTCACTCTGTGTAGTCAGCTCTGCCTGGCTTCAAATATCAAACTGTGACAGAATTGACCCTTTTAATGAAATCACATCATACTTTTTCATATCATGAAATCATAACTTTAATACAGGGCGTATTAAGTATTTTGATTTTGCTTTGTTTTTGCTTTCCCAGCCACAAACAATTCCATATAAGAAGATGTAATCAAAATACATCAGGAATCTTTCAAGTAAAAATGATTTTACACAGTAAATTATACTTGAAAAATTAATATTTATATTAGCATTATTTTGTTCAGCTTTGTACAAATATATTTCCTGGCCTCAGAAATTTAATGATAAAAAATCATAATAAATGTGGAATAATGACAGCAAGAGACAGACAAAGGAACAGATTTTTTCTTCTTATCTACTGGTCCCCAGTTTTCAGGGCACTTGAATAAATTTCAGATTTTATGAGGATATTATAAGTGCTTCCACAAAGTCTTTGACAGTCATATAGGGATTGTCCAATCATATAACTTGGCATTTTCTTTTTTTCTGAGTAGGTGAGCAAATAAAACACTACACAACTAGCTAGTATTTTCATTTGCAGCATGTCAGATGCACAATTAATTTAAAAGCTACAAAAGTTATAAAACGAAATGATGTAGGCATACTGCTTTAGAAGAAGGCCTCTTAAAAACAGAGAAAAGAACCAAAGTGTAAGATATATGTTAAGCCTAATTTGTTAAATGCCAGTAAGAACAGAAGCAGTTCCCTGCTGGATTGGACCCCCATCCTATCTAGTCCAGCAGTCTGATCTCACAATGGCCAGTGAACTGCAGAAGAAAGCTTGCTGGTCTCTCTGCAGATAGCCATCCATGAATTGGTCCAAACCTTTTTTAGAAGCCACATGCACCACATCTTGTGGTAGTGAATTTCAAAGCTGAATTACGTGTTGAGTAAAAAAAGGAAGTCATGAAGAAATGAATGGGCTACAACTCCCTGATTTTTTGTAAGGAATTAAACTGTGTGGTAGTAAGCCTATTTATCTATGCATCGGGGTTGAACTGATAAATAAATCAATAGATTATGAAAATATTCAAATATTCAAAATGTTCTTGTTTGGCTATAGATAGATATATTAGATTGATGTCAGATTAATTTAGTTTAATATATAGTGAGCTAATGGATTGTAAGGTTTAGTTTAATAAACCAGATACCTCCACTGTCCAAAAGCATATTTATCACTATACAGTAAAAGATCATAATATGTACATATTATGTCATCATATTTGGTTGGGAAAGAAGGGTTCTCATTTGACTTTAACTACACAAAAGATTTGTTTCAAAGATTTGTTTGTTTAACTACACAAAAGATTTGTTTCTTTTCCTATTTAAGCCTAAATGCTTTCCCTCCACAGATTTGATTGTAGAGCGACTGGGAAATCACTGAAG